TGGCGGTGAGAAGAAAGTGGGAGGCTCAAGACAGGAGTTCTGAGAGGCAAGGTTGCTTTCAAGCCACCTAATGGGAAAGAGAGATGAAGAACAACCAGATAGCGACTCCTCCAAAGGCCCCTTTTTTATGCCCCTTGTAACAGACAAATATCAACAGCGCCTTATTTACTACTTGAACAGAATTAGGGTTTCTTAGTATGCTGGCCCCTTTTGTTGCTAACTTGGACTTTTGCAACCCCTCACATGTCATCTGGCTCCCACCACCCACAAACTGTCTATATATGAAGCCATATTGTATTCACCTTAATGCATATATATCCCATCATATATGATGAGTCTCATTTAATAGATTGATTGGTTAACGGTGACTTATACTGAAAAATGTTGACAATTTATTTTATAAGAAAAGGAGGATTTTGATAGGCACGATCTAATGAAGCATATGAATGAGATTTTTAGGCCAAATTAATGCAGAGGTAACTAAGTTGGACCAAAAAAGCTAAAGGGGCAAAGGATGTTGCCACATCATGAGGGGTGTTGAAAATCAGATAAAATAGTGCTTTATGAGGGGCATATAAGTGGTTCAGTTGCATTGAAGTATAAATTGAAGCCAAATCAATAAAGGAAAAGATGGTCCCCCTTCCAAGCCACAACCTCTGCAATTGACTTTAATGGCAAAGAGGGGGGTTGTATCAATGAAGGGCTGTTGTTGTTAGGGTTAGCAAATGTGGGGATTTAAGGGCATGTTGGGTGGGGATAGTGACCCCACATTTACATTGATAGATGGTGCACTCCATCTAATTAAAGCCAGTGCTTCCATCAAAACCAAAACCTAAATTTATATATCCTTTTTAAATTTTGACTCAAAATATTACCTACCTGTAAAAACGAGTTTCTTAACGTTTGTAAAGCTAAAAAGAGAAAGCTATCAAGTTGATGACAAGCCCAAGAAAATTATAAAGAGGGAGAGATGGATGGTGACTTGACTTGGGATGGCAACGAAAAGGAGAATTATGAACAAGTAAGAGGCAGTTGTTGGGGCTAAGAAAGAATAATTGCAAAAACGAAATCAAGGCGCATATACCAAAAAAGCAGACAATTTGGCAAAGGTAACTCCAAAAAAATATCATAGAAATTACTCATTTCAAGTAGTAACATTCATCCAAACACAAAGCTATACTCAGAAAATCAGAATTCAGAATCCCCTTTCATAAGATCAACCTCAAAATTATCTTCTCTCAAGTACATTAACTGGTCTCAGATGAAAAGAAGAGCTTTTAGGGTAGCAAAATGGTAATTAAAAAAAGCTGGGGCTTGGTATGTTGTTCTTGAAAGAAGTGAAAGGAGGGAAACAATTGAGTCATTGACCCTCTCTTCTTGTAGCTCTTGTATTCATGGCAAAAATTACATGCAGCCTTTTCTTTAGCAAATGACTTACAATTTTTACCTTTTCTTTTGGGACAAAAGCTGAATAGCTAGTACTAAGGGAAATAAAACTTAAGGATTCCACTTTTATAATTTTCTCATATAAGATTTGGAGTTCTTTTTGTACTTAAATTCGAGATATATATACATATAAATATATAAATTCTTTTTACTAATTAAGAAAATATATTTTTATTGATGAAAAAGAGTTGCATACATTTTATATAGGACCCTGATGTGTGCACACCCGGGTGTGCACACACCACATAAAAAAAAAACATGGACCGGGTGTGGATCTTTTTTTTTTTTTAATGGGGTGTGTGCACACCTGGGTGTGGGATCCGGGTGTGCACACATCTTTATCCTTTTATATATTAAACTAAAAATTAATTCTTTTGGTGGATAAAATTAACAACATTAAAAATAAGACAATCATATACGGACAGTGTCTGAGAGAGGAGAGAAGAGGAGAGGAAAGAAAGAAAATGGAGATGATTACTTCTCTTTCCCTTCTTCTTCTCCATTCGTGTAATCTGTTTTCCTAGGACCACCTTTTGCAGAATCACTGCAGCAGATATAAAACAGCCAACAGCTATAAAGAAACCAACACCGTACCAACTAATAATACCATCTGGTCCTGGAGAGAGACAATCCCCCTTTTTTATCTTTCTCATAGATAAGTTACCAATGAAGTGGGGTTTTTTTTTATTATGTATCAATTTACGCGTGTTAAATTAAATTAATCAATGTCATTTGGTCTTAGAAAGGTCATTGAAGTACACGTAATGAATTGTGATCAATAAAAAGGGTACGTAATCAGCTTCCTACAGGTTAAATCATTTTTGCATCACTCTTTAAGAGATATCTTAAATTAATTTATTTTTACTTGTGTTAGACTAAAATTTTCTTTTCAATTAAACTAACTGAAAGTAGTCATTTATACTGAAATTGCCTTCTTGAATCCGGTGTTGCGAAGCAAATTTTAGGCAAGAACTAACGCAAATCCACCAATCTTGATCACATGGCATCGCATTTTAATTTATTTAAGGGCTAGAAAAAATATGAAATCACACCCTTTTATTGTCACCAATTCTGTCCAGCATGCAAAGAAAATTTCATGTAATTAGAGAGGAATATGATTGGTATGCTTTTTAATTCAACACATCTTTCAACACTTATTCAGTTTAGTTCTTAAAATATAATATAAATACAATCAATTTAGTCAATTCTTTTATATTGTATGCATAACTACATCCTTAAATTTGTCTACTTTTCATTTTAAACTAAGAAATAATGATTTTTTAATCAATGTGTTGTGTAGTGTATTAAACCAGAAGATGTATCAATCAATGTGCAATTAGAAATGTAGGCCTAAGATTGCCAAATCAATAAGAACTTAATGAGTATTGAAGGAGAAAGGTGAATTAATGACATATGATTACATTATTTGTTAAATTTTAGCTAATTTATTCTAATAAAAATGTAAGAAGACTAATTTCATTCAACCTAAAATTATAAGGGGAGATCTATTTTTTGAAAAAGTATGGAAAAATAATTCGAACATTCTCTAGTTTAGCACATACAATGACACTCGGTCAATTATTAAAATATAATATAAATGTAATTGGTTTAATCGATTCCTCTCTGTTGTATGCATTATTATATCTTTAAAATTTTTTGTCTTTAATTTTAAATTAAAAATAATAATTTTTTAATAAATATATTGTAAAATATATTAAGTTAAAGAATATTTGAATCCATGTCTAAAAAATATATATGGGTTCATTTCAATAACTACTGAAAGTAGAGGAATAAATATACTTTTTCACTACTACAAAAATTCCACCTTTTTTCAATACTTTCTTCTCTCAAAAATTTAAGACAGACCTCATCAACAAATATCAACTGATGGTTTATTTCTTAGTGCAATTAGAGAGCTTGAGGACAACTTTACGAGAGGTGTGCATTTGGTTCATGAAGTATAATTTCTTATTGGGAAAATTTTGTTCACTTTTAGAAAAGATTTAGAAAATATTTTCAATTGTTGGTTCATAATGAAAAGTCGTTTAAATTTGCCACAAGTCAAAAGTGTCTGTAACTTAGCTTTGCCTGTCAAGCCTTCCCAATTCCCAGGCTACCCTCGAATTAAACCAATTTACTCTTGGATCACCTCCAAGCCGCCTAAACCACAGATATCACCCCTGAGCCACCCCAAACTGCAAGCCAACCCAACCCAACCCAAAGTCGCTCTGAACCTCGAGCCACAACTTTGAGCCCCTGTGTTCAGGTTATAGACTAATTAATCCAGCTTTCCTGATTAGTTATAATTAATTTCGTCATGTATTAAGGGCAATAATGGACACATATATACGATGTTAGGTTTGATGTTTCCTTTTTCTACAATATGTCCAACTCCCTGTAAGCAGTAATCCTTGAAATGATAATTGGTTAACATCAGAAGTACTCAAGGGAACATGTGTTTACATTCCATTGTAAAGAAGACAACACCAGCATTCATATTTTGAAAACAGTATTGACAGCAATATCTACATTGAGCTTTTTGCTGATTTAAAAAAAAAAAAAAAAACAATACATTGAACTTTCAGTATAAATTCGGGACAAAATCATGACCCCTCTTATTTTGGCATTACTTACAACAAAAGGGACTGTTTTAGGATTATTTTCTTTATAGATATACATTAATTTATAAAGTATAAAAGATTAGGAAAATGATTGATATACTATCTAGTTTAACATACCTTAATTTTAATATTTGTATGATTTAATTATTTAAAAATAATATAAGTACAATCAATTTAATTGATTTTCACATTATATATGCATAACTACATTTTTAAGTTTATTTTTTTTAATTTCAAATTGAAAAATAATAATTTTTATTATGTATATTATGCAATATATTGAATTAAAAGATATATTAACCAATATTAAAAAGATTAACCTAACTAGCACCATATATAAGAAAAATGTTTACTAGTTAAGTGAAGTATCTTAATTAAACATTCCAAATCACTTTTAATAAATAACTATCAAACCCCAAAATAATTTTTTTGTGAAGGATTTTTTGTTAATAGCAAAACTTTTATTGATAAAAAATACAAGAGGTATTCAATCAGAATTTTTTATAATGGTTAATAAAATGTAACTAAAGTTACAACATAACAATCCCAAACAAAACGTCGGTTAGTGTAATAGATCTCATCAGATATATACAGCGTAATTGTTGCTTTGCCGTACTGCATAATAAATTTTTTTAGTGTAAAAAAAAAAAAAAAAAAACCTCTAAGTGGGTGGTAACATAAATCATGAAAATCTAATAGGTATATACGACTATCCTAAACAAACTAAAAATTCAAGCGCAAGGAAGCAAAGTTAGTACTTTGACAACCCAAACTGCCGAACCCACTCTCCTCTGACCATAACTCTTGTGGCCTTGTCAGCCCTCACTCTCAGATCATGGGTCAGACCCATTTGTCCCTCCTTCACTCTTCCTCCCTTCATTTATAGGCCCCACTTTCCATCCCCCCTCCCTCATTCTCCTCCTCCTCCACCTCCCCCTCCTCCTCCTCCTCCTGCTTCTTCTTCCATTCCTTTGATCCCTTCACCTTTCTCCTCCATGGACAAGGCAGAAAGAGAGACTCATGACTTCATGAATGTAGAATCCTTCTCCCAACTCCCCTTCATCCGCCCTGCGCCTAATATCAAAGAAAAGGGCGCCATCCGCCTCTTTGGCATAGAATTCGGCGGTGGTGGCAGTGGCGGTGATGCGGTAACCAATGAGTCCGAGTCAGGAGAGACTAACGAAGATGGCACCGTGAAGGAGACCGACAACGGTGATAATACCCGGCGGTTTGAGTGCCACTACTGCTGCAGAAACTTCCCTACTTCCCAAGCCCTAGGCGGCCACCAGAACGCTCACAAACGGGAACGCCAGCATGCCAAACGCGCGCACCTCCAGTCCACAATGGTGCATAACTCCCTCTCTGACGCCCATATCTACGGCCTCGTCAACTACAGGTTAAGCTCCACCTCGGGCCCCGCACCAACCACCATGAATTACCCTTCCTGGAACAGCAACATTAGTACACCCAGAGGGTTTTACGGCGGCCACAGCTCATATAACTCTCAACCACCAATCAACGGAAGTCCATTAGCACTATGGCGAATCCCCACTGTTCAAAGTGGCAGCAGCTTCAACCGTGACCGTTCCTCCCACCCGTTGCCTTTGTTCGCCGGGGACGAGCTGAAGCCACCGGGAGTTGGTGGTTCAAGTTCTCAAAGTCGGTACGTCTACGACTCAAAGCCTAAAGATCAAGTGAGTTTGGATCTACATCTGTAATATTTCGGTAACTTCATTATAAAGAGGGAAAAAATCGAGAATTTAATTTCTTTAGCTGTTGGGGGAAAAAATGAGGCCATTTCTAAGGATCTCCTTTCTTCTTTATAACATCTTGGGTTTATTTTTAGTATGATTAATATGTACATGAAACGATTTAACGTTGCTCTTGAATGTTGAAAGACATCAACTAATCTTCGAAAACATGAGCATATCTCATGATCATGGAACAACCCCTTTTGTTTTTAGGTACGATTTACACACTGGAAATGCGTACTCTAAGTTCTTTCATCTCCATTTTAATTAGTTTCAAAAGTAAAGTCTTAATTATTTGTTTCCTTTTAAGGATTTGAATATTTGATTTTTAATTTGAAAGTTGGAAATCTCGAGCTCTGATTGTTAGGACATCTTTAGATGAGATAGATATCATGGATCTGTTTTATGATGTCTAAGATCTTTGTTGGGTTCACATATGTAATCTAATGTTTTGATGATTCAGAATTCTTCACACGTGAGAGGAATATTTTTGGGAGTGGTTATCAGTGAGGAGCGCTTGAACATCTGTTAAGACACACACGTGTTCGTAGATCTATATGTTGTCTGTCTGAACACAGGTGGAGAGATAGCTATCTAGGTGGGCTTCTATTCAGTGCAACAGAGATGATGATAAGGCTTTGATGATGCCTATTCTCTTCTGCATGAAATGCAGAAAGAATATGATATTTCCATGGCATTTTTCAGTCATCATCTCCACCTCCTCCTCCTCCTCCTCCTCCTTCTCCTTCTTTTTTAATTTTCCTTTCTTTATAATACATATGAATTTTTAGGGTTCAATCCTGGGAAGATAGGAAAATCTTTCCTTTTTTTTTTTTTTTTTTTGTGTGTGTGTGTGTGTCACTTTTGTGTAACCTTGTGTGTGGAAGACCTTAAAGGTGGCAATTTCATGACCACTAATATAAAAACCTACCAAATTGACACAAATTAATATATATATATTATTATCACGTTTACTCATGTTTGGTTAAATTTCTTTATTTTAACATTAGAAGTGAATTACAATATTGCTTTGATAAGTCACGGGTAACATAAAAAATTCGCAATGTTTTGTTATAATTTTACAGTTGAATTTTGTGTATTCGATGGTTTTAAAAAAGGCTTTAAAAGAGTCATTTTGGTCCATCTATTCATTTGGCCGACACTTTCAAAACTAGGACATCTGTGCCCAACCCTTGGAGCCAATCCTTATCTCGATTCTTGAGATTGTTGATCTATTTTGTCGACTTTCTTTGCCTACGTTTTCATCAATTATCTAAAAAATACCCAACATCCGATTCCAATCAAACAATCATAAGACATGATGGGACCACAATTGATTTTTGTTAACGGTTAAGGGAAAAGTAATTTGTTAACAATCAAATACAGCAAGCGTTGCTTCAAATTGTACTGCAAGTTGCTAATTTGTATCAGGTTATGCTGAAGTGAAATGTAAAAGTGAGTATCTCTTCTACTCGTAGTAATAAATTATCTCATAAAAAAAAAGTCAAGAAATAAATATTCCAACCTTTGATCATATATACAATTCAATGGTATAAGCTTTCAAAACATATTACACCCACTTTTGCCCTAAAAAATTGGGACCACAATTAATGAGTAAATAATAATACAGTATAATTAATGGTGGTGATGTGGACATTAGAAATCTTGTTATTTACCTCCTCAATAACCAATCAATGTGATGGCGCTACATGTAAGGTAAAGTCTCATCTCAAAAATTAACAGTAAATTTTGTTTAGGAGGTAAAGTCTTATACTTACCAACAAAAAATAAAAAATAAAAAAGGTAAATTTGTTTGATTCTGCCACATCTGATGTAAGATAAATGGTTTTGTCGACTGACAACAGGAGTTTTTTTTTTTTTTTTAGATTTTAAAATTCAATATAAAGATATAATAATTTTACCTTGAGTTAAGAAGCTTTCATCAAAACATTGAAAGTTAGATTTATTAAGAAGTATCATTTTATAAGTTAATTAAATTTGAGATTTAAATTTTAAAAATAATATTTAAAATTTATTTTTAAAGATATACAAAATTAATATAAAAGTGTAATTTTTAAGATTGTCAATAAAAAAATTAATTTTTAAATATACCCAAATTTATCTTAAAACACTTTGCTCACTAAAAAACAAAAAGTTTTGGCTAGCAAGTTACCCTGTGGCAAGTCAAAGATAAGTGGCATTTTGTGATTAATTTGTGGAAAACAGAGCTATGATGGCATAAGATACCTGAGAAGATGAGTGAAACAAGTACAACTGCAACAAGAAAGTCAAAGGGGTTTCGGAATGAGAGATATCTGGAGCATTTTCATGATTGCTTGGGGTGGTTACTGATTAGTAACATATATCCGAGATTTTTGAGAAGCTCCAACTATTGTGACAATTTTGAGTGTAACAACCCCCATTCTTTGCCATAAATTGAAGTCTCCCACTCCATTTTCAGCAAGCCTACTGCCACTCTTAACACAACTTCAATTTACTTTGAGTCTGAGAGTCACGTTAAGTAGACTCAAATTTTGAGGACATGCATTTGCCCTTCTGCCAGGCGCCTTGCTTAGATGTGAATCTAAAAGTCATAGTTCTTATCTGCATTTGACTTCGATCATGTCTTATTTTCCCGGATTAATGATTATTTGACTACGTTTTGGTCGAAATCCTTAAAATGATCAAGGTAAATATCAAGAAATCCATCATAGAATTCACCTCATTCGGTCCTGCTTCAACTGTCTAAACCGCAAAACTTCTATCAACCTTTTGCAACAGGTTCGTCCACTCCTTTCAACCTTTGCAACAAGCTTGTTTGCATAAGAAAAACAATGGTCATCAATTTTTTTTTTTTTTTTTCCTTTTAAGCAAAAACACATGGCACACTTGCATTTTTGTCTTGTATATGGACAGAAAGAGAGATTTGAAGATAACATTTATATATATATATATATATATTTAACAGTACGAAGAAATTCACGGGTTAAAAAATGGCAAAACTGCGAACAAGCAAGAAAGTATATCTATATATATAGTGTACGTTGTTCTTTAAAACGAAGGGAGCTTGAACATATCTACGGTAACAACTAAAAAGGTAAGATAGTTACACTGCCATAGCACGTTGATTTTATCTCTACCTTTTCTTTTATGTCTGCCAAAAGACAGAAGTTGTAAGATAGATGAGGGTTAGTTTTGGGTGGTACTCAACGATCTAGAGCAAGAGCTGTACAAATTTTCGTTTCTGAACAAAGCGATCGAAGAAGGAACTGTTAAGCTTTTACCTTTCTACTTTTCTGAGTAGCTCACGATGGTACGTAATAGTATTTTAAAAAATATTTTATAATTTAAATTACACAATTTAATTATTAAATAAAATGTAAATTTTT